CGAAGTCAACCGCTTCGGTTTCGTTGCCATAGCAACCACACGAAGGCTTCTGACTGGTCGCAATTTAAATATTGTTTGATACATGTACCGATTGCTACATGTTGTACAGATCGATACATGTACAGATTGATACCTGTATTTACAAATTGAAACATAAATTTACCGATTGCTACATTGTATAAAGATTACTTTATGTATATACAGATTGCTACATGTATATATTTATTGTAAATCATCAAGTAGTTGTTAGTATTTGCAGTTATTAGTCCCTTACCGTGCGTCTGTGTCACAGAAATACAAAGGACCATAATATCTCGAAGGATTTCGAGTTTCAGGGTTGTCGAGTCAAGGTCAAGGTCATCGTAACTATTTTAAGACAAGTCTTGTCAGCGCTCTAGCGGCTTCATTCCTGCAGGGATTTTGATCAAAGTTCAAACAATTACAAAGGACCATAATATATCAGACAGGTTTGAGGTTAAGAGTTGTTGGGTCAAGGTCAAGATCACCGTTGGGATTTTAAGAAAATTCTTGTTAGCGCTCTAGCGGTTTCATTCCTTGAGGGATTTCGATCAAACTTCATACAATTACAAAGGACCATAATATCTCGAAAAGAAAACGTTTCAGGATTGTCGGGTCAAGGTCACCGTTACCATTTTTAGAAAATCTTTGTCAGCCTCTAGCGGCTTCATTCTTTGAGGGATCTTGATCAAACTTCATACAATTACAAAGGACCATAATATCTCGAACAAGTTCGAGTTTCAGGGTTGTCGGATCGAGGTCATCGTTACTATTTTTAGAAAATCAATGGAAATAAATCAGCATACAGGAGAACGATGTAAAGGTAGCACACATACAGGGGGAATGTGAAATAGTAGGACACATACTAGTACACGGGATATTGAAAATGAAGTAAAAAGTGTCCTTACAGGTTTGTGTTGCAAAGTATAATTGTTTTATTGTGAGTGATACGTAGAGTTGCTATAACTCAAGTTCCATAGCTTATATGCCATTGATCTACTTTACATTAGATAATTTAAGTCTATAAAATAGTCTGGGATGTACATGTAATATTCTGGAATTGTGACATTAACTTGAACTTTTTGTTAGATTTATTTGATCATACATGACCAGTGTACATGGACAAATAACCAGATTCCTTAATGCCAAGGCTGTATTTACGATCGCGAATGGCCATGTGAATACTGGTTACACTTAATGAAAATATATATCTTATTTCCCATCACATTTCCTAGAAATATTAATCATTTCACTTATTGAAAATATTTGAAATAGCATGTAAACATTATGGTTCAGAAACATTAAGATACCTACAGACAAAACATAACTTTCAAGTTCAAAGGGCCGTAATGATGTTAAGGTCATAGGAGTGTATTGCTAAACGGAAATAGGAAGTACATCCCTAGTTGAAAATCCAATGTAGGGAGACAGTATCACAATTTCCGCATAATCTAATGTTTAATATTAAAGTGATGAATATTGTATGTTTATTATTGACATAACAGTGTGTTCTTTCAATGTTAAAGCATTGCAAAGCAATCCAGGCATTAATTCAGTTGTTTTTTAATCAATGAGTCACATGTGTCCATTTTTCTGTACTTCAGAAACCGGCTACCTATTTTACTACTGTGAAGTTTTTCAAGAACGATAACTCTTGCATGCAATTACTATGTGTATATGCTTTTATTATAAAATGACAATTTTTAATCGTTTATAGATAATTATTGTACACAATTTCAGCATTTATGAAATTGATATACATTAATGCAATACTAATCTATGTTAATATCATTTTTATTGACATTATTTGGCCAAAAATTGTGTGTTTAAATGTTTTTTTCAAAATTCACTCCTTTTTACATAAATTTCCTTTTAAAATCCCTATATATTTTTTTGCGGCAGAAAATTTTCTTTACCTCAAAGCAATATATCTACAAAATTTGAATAAATTCTACTTAGAAATGACGACACAATCCTATTACCTTAAAAGGGCAATAATGAACTGAATTAAACTGGATAAGTAACACGTTATTACACATTGGTGATGATATTCACGTCTCTTAATCACCCTTGCTGGTGATTGATTTAATACCACAAAACTTAGAAATAAGTTTAAAAAATGATAACTGCCAATGGTACCATATCGCGTTGTGTTTATATGATGTGTATTTTGTGTCAGTTGAGGTGACGGTATTGTCGTCCGTCCCGGAGGCAGTGTACGCCCTGAATTTCGAAGTGACAGATGACTGTTCCAATACGGCGACAGCCACGCTATCTGTGACTGTCACTGATCCCTGTACTGGCACGTCAAGTCCTACCTTCTCCGACGCCACTCCGACCGCCTCCATATCTACGACGGCCGCCGTCGGTACGACAGTATCCACCCTCACAGTGTCCGACCTGGACGGCGGCACGCTCACCACAGTAATGACGTCATCATCCCTTTACTTCATGTTTGACACTTCTTCACGTGAGTAATGTTAGCTGATTGGGTTGATGTTTATGTCACTTGTTTTCATATCAGCTCTTCTCAATGAACTGCTCTTTGATAAAATATGAATGAAATGAAGATGGAATTTATTTCAAAGTAAGAATCAAACGCTTCTTTATAGTAAAGCTACTTTGAATTCCTCATTATCTTGTTCAATGACGACACTGACAGATATATCATTGCCCATGTTTGTCCAGTTTATGATGCCTTACTTTACAAAGCCTCCAAACAAGTGACGTATTAGTGCGTAAGGTGATATGATAGCATGTCATTATCGGGATAGATCGGCCTATCGACCTCAGGATATACGAAACCCTTTAGGGTCATACCATCCCGTATACCCTGCCAAAATTCCGTGTAATGAATTTATTACCCCTTTGCGTCTTTTATAATAAAAACAAAGAAAAATAACAATAAAATAGCGAAACGTTTTTCCATTTTGTAAACAGCAAAGCAGACGACGAATGCTAGTTGTCTCCCTTTGCCCGGCCGCAAGATACAAAGACACGTGTCCCGTATACCCCTTGTAAAATCACGTGATTCCACCGTATTACTGCTGAGAATCACGTGACATGACCGTATACCCCCCTGAGATTTTCGTATACCCCCTGAGATTTACGAATGCGGTTTGGTACACTGTTGTTTTTAACCAATCAGATTCCTAGATTATTCACAAAGGGGTAATAATATAACGTATGACGTTAAATGTGAGAGGACCCTTGCTTTATTCAAGAAGACTGGGGCGAAGGCGGTATATGTTGGCGGTTCCTTATACAGTCTTGTTAGTTAAGGTGTGATACACACGTTTTAGTGTTAATTCGACTTTGATTACCTTTTTTGTATTGTATTATTATGTATTTGCATTCTCGTCCTTCGCTAAGTGTTAGTATCTAGCTTCCCTTTGAGCCTGTGTTGCTTAGCTAAGACTGGACCATATACATATGCGGTTTTACATACCGTACCAGTGATATTTTGTTAGATCTATTTGTTTAACAAATACATGTTAACTCAGCACATGTTAACAGTTGTTATCATTTAAGAATCCGGAATTACCTGAATGTTATCGTTGAACATATCTTGTTATTTTGTTATTATGTGTAATCATTCCAAACATCTTGATTTACCTTTTACCTTGATCCGGAAGGCCGGGAAATGAGCTTAAAGCTCGTATTGACCCGATTTAAATATTGAAATGAAATATGTTGTATATGTTGTTGAAATATGTTGTTTAGTAAACTTGTTTATGAAATATAGTGTTGATGATCATACGTTTGAATGTATGTTAGTTTACGGCTGCATTAGTTGCTCCAAATGTGCACTCAATAGTTCCAACATGTTACCACGTTTTAGTTGAAGTGCAAGTGTCTTCCACCGTCCCGGCTGGTAGTTATAGCTTAACCTTCCAGACATCAGATGATTGTTCCAACAATGCGATAGCCACGCTCTCAATAACAGTGTTAAGCTTAAGTCAGGTGACCCCCACCTTCAGCGTCTCTACTGCGATGTCTACCATGCCAGATGATTATTCGATAGGAACAACAGTGGTCCGTCTTACTGTGACGGATCCCGATGGAGGCACGACTACCACATCTATGACGTCCTCATCTACGTACTTCGAACTTGACCCCGTCACACGTAAGTGCGGACGTGTAGGATTTATGCAACAGTACAAAGTGTATTAAAACAAGAAAATATCAAACTGTTTACAAAGCCATCATCCCAATTTAAACTTGAGAAAAAACATACAGAATATCCAAATAAAATAAACTTTTACGGTGATGTCCTTCATTGATTCAGGAAGAATATATATTCCATAAAAATATCAATATGCAAATTGCGCATGCTTTATTATTTTGGCAGTTGATGTAAAAGTTCTATCCAGTTTGACATCCGGTACTTACGTGCTAGAATTCCAAGTAGTGGATAACGACGGACATACCGGTACAAGCCAGCTCAACATTACAGTCGATAATGCGGTTTGTACGAGTGCAGTAATGAATGTATGAGCACCAAATGAACAGAATTTTCAAATCATATCTGAGGAAATTCTGAGCTTATATAAGATACTAATATTTGTCTTTCATTAACATTCTGATTTAGGGTATCACTACATTTATAAGACTAAATTCAGTTACTTTATTGAATTTCTCGCTGAAGTAATTGTAATATCAAACAAAATTTGAAATGCAATTTCTATAATCGCTAAATGGAATCGGAAAATATCACGAATATTTGGTTCTATCTTAATATGAAACTTAAGATACAAGAGTTCTTATTGATCAGAAATCATAAAGAATAATTTGAAAGGAACATTTATTCAATCTGTTTGTGTTTTCCTTAAAAGATTGTTGAATATTTCATTCTTTAAAGAAACAAAATTAGAAACCGAAGTTCGATGGAATATAAATGCCAAACTGTCCTCTAGCTTTTTTTTATTTCAACTATTCAATGTCTTCTTTTGTAACGTTTTGTCCTTTTAACCCTCTTTCCATTACTCATCTTAAAGTCATGCTCTGCTGTTATACATGAGGCTTGTGGGACGTTTGCATGAGCTGTGATCTACAGTTCCATACTACAAATAACCTATTGTCGCGTTGTATAACGTTTCGTGTCCATATTGAACAGTTTTACGTGGTAGCCTAGTACAGGTAAAGCATACTTATGTGCACTAGAGTTAACAAGAATGTGTACTGGAGTTAACAAGTCTGTGCACAGGAGTTAACATTATCAACATTGATATTCTGAACGTGTTCTTGTCTCTTAAAAATTAAATTAAATGTTAATGCGTGCTTGAATGAATGAATTTGATGTTAAAATATTGTTGTCCTGGTATTGGGTGGGGTGGGGAGGGAATGGTGTAGGGTAACCAAAGTAAGGGCAACTATGAGGGGACATTTTCCTTTGAAATACTGCAAATGTTTATGGTTTTTCTTTATTATCACAAGAAATGGTGTACCAGTAGACCAACAGTGTTGTGCATTAGTTAACAAGCTTGTGCACTGGAGTGCACTTCAAAGTTTTGTCTAGTGCACTGCCTTATTGACTAGGTGATCACTACAAAGGGCCGTTGATACCATCTTAAGTTTGCTCTCAACCTTTATATAACACATTTACATTTAGATCTACTTTTTTCTACAGAAACACAGTTCAGACTATCCACAACGAGTTACATTTATGTAATAACCAATTTCATGGAATGTGTTCGGAGGCATGCTTTGAGTATCACCGGAATTTCGCAACACCCTTATTACTAAATATGTCCAAATATAATAGTACCTGATATGGACCACATTCCTACATATGTCCAAATATAATAGTACCTGATATGCACCACATTCCTAAATATGTCCAAATATAATAGTACCTGATATGGACCAGTATAGGATTTTTCATTCGCCAGTCCCGAATAATGGTTTGCACGTATTCTGCTACTATGTACCGTGTCTGTGATTTGCAGAAACCGCTGATTACAAGCCTACCTACGTATGCGTACTTGACAGAATCAACAACGGCAGAAACATTGCTCCACACTCTGGTGACAAGTGATGCCTCCCCTTCCGATACCGTTACGTGTTTACTGGTGGCGTCTGACCCTACCTCTAGTGACTTTACTGTCAAACTCGTATCGGGAACATGTGAGTGTTGATAACTTGTTGTCATTGTAATTTCATATTGAGACCATGTACCTGATGATACAGTGCTGTCATTTCATATTGAGACAATGATATTATTGTTGATATAGGGAACATGTCGGTGTTGATTCAGCGTTGTGGTTGTCAAAGTTATATAGGGAACATGTCGGTGTTGATTCAGTGCTGTGGTTGTCAATTGTTATATAGGGAACATGTCGGTGTTGATTCAGCGTTGTGGTTGTCAAAGTTATATAGGGAACATGTCGGGGTTGATTCAGCGCTGTAGTTGTCAAAGTTATATAGGGAACATGTCGGTGTTGATTCAGTCCTTTGGTTGTCAAAGTTATATAGGGAACATGCCGGCGTTGATTCAGCGCTGTAGTTGTCAATAGTTATATAGGGAACATGTCGGTGTTGATTCAGCACTGTAGTTGTCAAAGTAATATAGGGAACATGTCGGTGTTGATTCAGCGCTGTGGTTGTCAATTGTTATATAGGGAACATGTCGGTGTTGATTCAGTCCTTTGGTTGTCAAAGTTATATAGGGAACATGTCGGCGTTGATTCAGCGCTGTAGTTGTCAATAGTTATATAGGGAACATGTCGGTGTTGATTCAGCGTTGTGGTTGTCAATAGTTATATAGGGAACATGTCGGCGTTGATTCAGCGCTGTGGTTGTCAAAGTTATATAGGGAACATGTCGGAGTTGATTCAGCGCTACAGTTGTCAAAGTTATATAGGGAACATGTCGGCGTTGATTCAGTCCTTTGGTTGTCAAAGTTATATAGGGAACATGTCGGGGTTGATTCAGCGCTGTAGTTGTCAATAGTTATATAGGGAACATGTCGGTGTTGATTCGGCGCTGTAGTTGTCAAAGTTATATAGGGAACATGGCGGCGTTGATTCAGCGCTACAGTTGTCAAAGTTATATAGGGAACATGTCGGTCTTGATTCAGCGCTGTAGTTGTCAAAGTAATATAGGGGACATGTCGGCGTTGATTCAGCGCTGTAGTTGTCGAAGTAATATAGGGAACATGTCGGTGTTGATTCGGCGCTGTAGTTGTCAAAGTTATATAGGGAACATGTCGGTGTTGATTCAGCGCTGTGGTTGTCAGAGTAATATAGGGAACATGTCGGTGTTGATTCAGTCCTGTGGTTGTCAGAGTTATATAGGGAACATGTCGGTGTTGATTCAGCGCTGTAGTTGTCAAAGTTATATAGGGAACATGTCGGCGTTGATTCAGCGCTACAGTTGTCAAAGTTATATAGGAATATATCAGTGTTAATACAGCGATGTGGTTGTCACAATTATATTTAACATATCAGTGTAGATACAGCTTTGTCATGAAAAAGTTATATTTTGAACGTTTCGGTGAATGTAATGTCAAGTAGCCAACATGTTAGTAGTAAAAGCCTTTTGACTGTCAAAGGACCATTTATCGAGGTTTTACTGCATAGTGATGGGCACTAAACATGATGGGAATTATATCGAGAGTTTACTGTCGATAAACGAGGGGTTTATTATTACATTGTGCTATATATAAAGGGGAGGCATTATCGACATTTAACTGGACATAATCGAAGGGGCAGTAAATATACTTTTTGACATAAGACGTTAGATCAAGGTCAACGGGCATTACATCAAGTTCTTAAGGTACATTTTGAAATGACAGAATAGCATTTGGTTAACTTTGTCCTATAATCGGGTTTTGTTTTTGGTTTTTACTATTTTAAATTTTTCCATCTTAATGCATTGTCAGTTCAAATTTGCTCATATAATTGTTTGTTGTATTTTAGTCTTTAAGTCTCAAAAGCTTGCAAAAATTGAATCATACTTCCATCATTCATGTTGTCGACGTCACAATTATCACCCCAACATGAAAACATATTACCGAAATTTCTCCTATGCATTTATGTCATTTCTTGACATAACGGAGACGATTTTCACATTCGAGGTAATTAATTGTATAGAAGGCAATACAGTGACGTGTGAACATTTCTATTAAAAGGTTTCATGGTATATATACGTCCGCGCAATAAATGAGTGCTTTCTTATTCGTTGGAAAAACACGAGTGTGTGATCTTGCTTTTACCACATACCCTCCGTATTTGGTAGAGATTGATACACATTATTATAACAATATCCAGCAGGTATATGATAGATATGCAAGACCACACACTTGTGTTTTTCTAACGAATCGGAAAGCATGAGTTTATTGCGCGGACGAATATATTCACGAGTGAAATAAATGAGTGCTTTCGTATTCGTTGGAAAAACGTGTGTGGTATTACTTTTATCACATGCCTTCCGTATTTGCTAGAGATCGATACAAAGATTTTATAAAGTCTGATATTTTTTGCAAATACCGGGAACTTTTCAGAATCCATAAATATCAACTTCTGTGCTATATGTTTCATTTAAGCTTACGGTATATACTCACTGGCGAGTCATTCGTTCAATTATGTGACCACCAAGCGCTACAAACTGACAATCAACTGTACTGATACCAAAGACGACGTTTCTGGCTCGTTTTACGTATACATACTTCCCAACCGTCCTCCGACATTTACCAATCTGCCAAGTAAGTAAAACACCTTTTAATTCTTCCACATACATGCAAGTTTGCGGTAATTTCTATTAATGTTACCAAACATTATTAACATAGAATATATAATTTGATGGGTAGCACAATGGATCAGCTTTTAAAGATGTCTAGGGTTTGCACATTCTCGTAGCTGAGATGGTCTTTCATTTATCAAATTGTTCGCTATAGGGAGAGCAGGGAACTCCAGGAGAGAAACCAACGAACGATCTGTTACATACATCACAGGGAGATTGGACTATTCACCTGACGCGAATAGTTATCAGTGTCAATACCTTGTATTACAGTACACAGAGGATCGCTAGAACAACTCATTGGATATTCCGTCTTTGCATATTGCAGAGTTAACTTCTCTTGTGAGCAGGTATTGATTGTTACGTCCTTGGTTTGTGAAAATTACGTCGTTTTCTCAAAAATTGATGACGTTACTCTCACAAACCAATGACGTAACAATCAATACCTGCTCCCAAGAGAAGATAACTCTGCAACACGCAAAGACGGAATACATGTAGAAGTGATATTACTGGCGGTGTGTTTAGATCAGTAGCTACCAATGCTAGCGCAAACTAAAGCTAAGGCTATAATTTTGGATTCATCCTTAGTTAATTTTTACACTTATTTATTTTATAACTTAACAACCAAGTCCTTAAACGTGTCCTCTGATCTGGTTTTTCTTTCCGTATGTTTGAGTGTCTATCGACGCCTTGTTCATAATGGCCCGCGTGTTATGTGGTTTTGTTGACTGGCTTAAAATTGCAGATTCAATATCGGTGGCACATTCAAGCAGTTCTGGCACAAGTGTATTCCATGTGACTGGATCCGATACGGAGGGTGACACACTTACGTTTTCTATGTCCTGCAGTTCCTGTCCTTTTCAAATTACGAATGGTAAGAAAAAATCTTATATTTGTGTTCTGCATTTGAACAAGTGTGTCTACATTTTAAACATTTGTTCACAGTTCAGCATTTTTAAGTAGTTATAAGACACAATATTTGCCATTGTTTCGGACGTCTGTTTTAAATTGTATTAAAATGATATTTGTCATACTGTGATTGGGATTTCATATCTTACCTTTATTATTATACCATTTTAGAAGTTCTATAAAAATTGAAAAAAATAATAACTGTTGTAGGTTGGTGGGATACCCTTTGACAGGAGGCTGCCACTAGTCAATTTGTATTACATCTGTGTGATGGCTGATGTAGACAGCAGAGTTTTCCATCGATCAGGTGTTAAAATGGATTATTACATTTGTATAAATGTGTATTTGTTTTGACAGGAGGAGAGATTAGCACAAATCAGGTGTTAAGTGGTTCTACAGTGGGATACGATATTTTCGTTCTGGTGACTGACGCTACCACCAGTGTAGGACCAAATGTTCTAACTGTAAAGATTTCTGGTAAGTGGAACCCAAATAAAAAGGTAAAACAAAACTGTTCAGAGTGGGGTATATTGGGTTTGAAGAAGAAGAAACTAAATATAATATTTATTATTACCATGTTATGTTGCATATTTTGTTGCCATTTTTTTCTCCAAACCCTTATCTTTGGTTACGTCACAATATAACTGCAGTTATATACTGCATCGAGATTTGCAAAATTGTGACGTCACAATCAAAACAAAAGCATAATGAAGCCAGCCACAGGTCCGCTGGGTAGTACAAACGTAATATAAAATTATATATTTAAAAGCTCATTCTATACAATGGTTGATATAACAACGGATAGTTTTCTGATAAGCAATGGTATTGAAACAATTATACATGTAGGAAAGAAAAGAAGTTAATTTAATAATTTGAAAAATTATCCAATTTTCAATGCGTGTTACACAGTATGACAGTGTGTTCGGCTCCCATCTAAACAGAACAGGTGAATAACAGCCTGGGCTGGCATATGATACCGTATGACCGTAATGAAAACAGAACTGGACGTTATGTACGTGTTTATTGCATTCGTTTTGGTCTATAGCTCGTCTTTACCTGGAATTTTACACCTCGACGAATTACGTAAGGTGCCGCGAGTCAACAAACTAAGGTCCTGGTACAAAGTGGTTCATATGTGAGGTAATTTTACATTTGTGGCCTTGGGTCGATTAAAAACACCAAAAAACACTATTTCTTTATTTAAGAAAACACAGATTGATATTGATGTGTCCCCGGACTCTATTTTAGGGCCACTACTGTTCATTTTAAACATTAACGATTACCCAAAGTGTTTGAAACACTCTGTAGATATTCTGTATACATATGATACATCACAGAATGTGAGGGGGAAACATTAGAAAGTCTGGAGGCAAAAATGTCAGAAGATATCTTAAACAGAGTTAAATGGATGAAGGATAATAAATCAAGTCTGAATTTAACGAAATCCCAATGTATGATGATAGGGTCCTCTCAACAGATCTCACGATTGAAACTGTTAACTGTGCAAAACTAATAGGTGTTTTACTGGTAGTTGTCTCTCATGAAAAGAGCATATTGAGTATATCACAAAGAAAGTATCCAAAACAAATGGTGTGTTAAGAAGGTTAAGGTCATTTATGACAACTGATGCTATTACAAAAGTGTACGGCAGTATTGTGAACCTAGCAACAAATTTTATATAGATAGGATTTTGAAATTATAGAAAAGAGCAGCCAGGATATTGTTTAATGTTAGAGACATTATTACTCCCTCCAGGCCCCTCTTCGAAAAAATAAAATGGATGCCAATAGCAGATTTTTACGTTTTTAGAAAAATGGTTCTTTGTTATGAAAATTTACATTGTGAATCACAAGGTATTTTAGCAAATATGTTTTCTTATGCGAAAAATGTTAATGAAAGAACAACTAGAGCTTCTATATCAAACAAACTGTATGTTCCAACTGCCAGAACCAATCATCTCAAACGGTCATTTGTATATACATGTTCAATTTTATGGAACGAAGCTAGTGATACAATTAGAGACTCAGGTAGTGTTGGGGGTTTTAAAAGCAGATACCTGCAGCATTACTTCACAAAATGTTAGCTATATATACATGTACTACAACTAGTCTCAAGTTTTAATATCAAAACATTTCTTTTATGATATTCAATATCTTGTATGAAAAGCATACAGCTATCAAAATAGTAAATTATATACATGGAAAAAGAAGAACCCATTAAAACAGGCTCGTTCAAAAATAAATTCTTAGTTCGGAAAATTGGTACCTAGTATTCATAAATGAGCTATTAAGGCAGATTACAGGTCTGACCACTCATTCCCTATATTTGTTTTAAAATGTAATGAGTTCAAGCGGGGAAAGGGATTGTGGAAATTTAATTCATCTCTTTTATATGAGGAAGAGTATCTTCAAATGGTGAAAAAAAAATATTTTAGAAACAAAAACTCAGTACTCTTTGCCAGCGTAAATAGAATTTATATTGATGACCAGCTTTTGTTTGAAATATTATTAATGGAAATCAGAGGTAAAAGTATATTTTATTCATCTTATAGAAAGAAACAGCAAGGTAGGAAGGAAGATGATCTTTAGAAGACAAAATACGAACTATTAGAGAACAGGAACATATAGACATAGAAGATTTAGAAATTAAGAAAAGGGAATTAAAAATATTAGTTTGAGGAAGGTAAGAGGTAGCATAATTACATGTAGGGCAAGATGGCAAGTTGAAGGAAATAAGCCAACAATATTTTTTTTCAATTTAGAAAATAGGAATGATACTTCCACGATTATACCAAATATACAGAAAGATGAAATGTTATTATTACACAACAGAATGAAATTTTATAAGAAGTTCGTTTATTTTATGAAAAAATATATGATGATATTACTGATATTGACGATAAAGATTTAGCAAATTCTCTTAATACAGGTGATGATTCAAAATTAGTTAATAACGATTCTGTCGGTCTAGAAGGGTTAACTACTTAAGAAGAAGCAGCAAAGACTTTAAAAAATACAAAAAATAACAAAAGTCCTGGATTTTTTCAAGTGTTTCTAGAAACAACTAGGGGGTTCATTGTTAGATCTATAAATTGTGGATATAGGAAAGGTTTGCTATCAGTAACACAAAGGCAAGGTATTACATGTATACATGTAACATGTATTCCCAAGTGAGATAAACCTAGGCAGTTCATAACAAATTGGCGACCCATATCATTATTGAAATATAGTCTATAAAATAGCGTCCGGACCGATAGCAGGTAGAATTAGCACAGTTTTGGATAAATTAATTAGTGAATATCAAACAAGATGTCTTTCATGCCTTTATATAGGGAAAATATCTGATTAGTTTATGACATTATGCAATATGCAAAAGAAAGATATATTACAAGTATGTCATTAATGGTAGTTTTTGAGAAAGCAATTGACACAGTCTCATGGAAAGTATTAAACTATTTTAATTTTGGTTCTGCTATTAGATGCTGGGTAAGACACCAACGTTAGATCAGTAACCATAAACATAAACAGAGGTTGTTGTATTGAAATAATAGACATAAAATAATAGTCCAATCCTTATATTTCAGTATGCAAATGATACTTCTCTCATTTTAGATGGTTCTGAAAGGTCTTTAAAAGAATCTATAGCAGAATTGAAACTTTCGCTAAAATATCTTATTTAGACAAAACCCAGGTGGTTTGAATAGGGAGCAAAATACAGAGTGAAGATACATTTTTACCTAATCTAAACTCGCAGTGGACAATCCATGATTCTGTGTCAATCTTCATGAAATTCCAAAATTTAATTTTGATAATAAGTTAATTAAACTAAAAGCACTTATCAAAACATGGAACAGAAGATCACTTACTCATATAGGTAGAATCCATCTGATAAAATCTTTAATGATGTCACAACTTCAACATTTACTTGCATTGCCAAATCCCGAAGTTCATATATTCTGAATCAATTAAATAATATTCTCTTTAACTTTTTATGGAATAGTAAAACAGATAAAATATAGAGAGATGTTATATTTCATAATTATTCTGAAGGGGGTCTTAAAATAGTAAATATAAGGTAATTCATGGATTCCTTAAAATTAGGGTAGATACGAAGATTATATCAGAAGTCAGGCAAGTGGCAAGCTATATCAACACATATCAATTTACATATGCTATCTCATTGTGGAAGTGATTACATTTCAACATATCTGAATAAATACACAATTTTTTCTGGAAAGATGTCTTTAAAGCATGGAGAGGGTTTAATGAAAGGGAGCGGTTGAAAAAAATGAATGAAAGTTGTATCTAGAAAATGCAATTATGGTATACTAGGAGTGTGATTATTGGGGGGGAAATCAATATTTTTCAAGACATGATATAATAAGAGGGTGACTATAATGTATGATTTAATAAATGACATTGAGACTTGTACTTTTTACACATTTCAATAATTTGTTCAAATTTATCAGGTTGATACTAATTTTCTTCGATATCATGGTGAATTATCTACAATAAGGAAATATTAAGATAAAATTGATTGTAAGAAGGATGTCATTGTATACCCTATCATATCCTGTAATGCTGAAATTTTCATAAAAAGAGTAATAGGAATAAAAGATTTTTATAACCTTATGGTAAAAAAAATATACTATTTCTACATAAGGAGAAAATGGGAAGAAATGTTAGATTTGATTGGTTTTGATTGGAAAGATACTTATAAAACGCCTTTTAGAATAACAAAAAATGCAAGACTACAGTGGTTTTAGTATAGAACTGTTCATCATTTTTTGACAACAAATTAATTTTCTTTTCTTTTGACCTTATGATTCTATTTCTGTCTCTTATGTGTGTGTGTGTGTGTGTGTGTGTGTGTGTGTTGGTGTGTGTATACGATTGAGTGTATGTTTTGATATAGATGATGATTGACATTATGCATATATGATGATGATGGAGATGCTCGTCATATATAGATTGTGATTGTGATGATGATGTACGTTTATGTGTATACATTTTATTATTTTGCTGGTAAAAGTGTATAGATGATATGATGATGATGATGCGTTATTGCTCATGTATGATGATGATGATGATGATGATGATGATGTTGATGTTGATGATGGTGATGATGATGATGATGATGTTGATGTTGATGATGGTGATGATGATGATGATGTCCATGACCGAGTGTGTGAGCGCACTCTAGCGGGAATCGGGCAACACCTGGATATATAGACAACTATATACAATGGACCTTTAATCAGACAATCTGTATTTTACATATTTTTCTCTTTCGGTGTTACAGTTTGGGAGACAATAATCAAACACTTCCAGGAAGTTATCGTTTAAATGTTTAAATATTTATTTTGAGAACGTGAAATTGCTTGGACATGAACTTTCATCGTATAAATCCCCTTTTGTCATTTTTAACCGTAGCTGCATCGATTTTGAAATGGATTAACGTTTTTGTTTACGCTTCGATATTCTTTTTATTCTGTAGATATAAACGCGGACCCTGTTATAACGAACCTTCCTTTTCCCAGTAACATATCTGTGTTGGAGAACCAGCCTGTGGGAACCGCCGTGTTTACCGTCGTCTCGGGTGACGTAGACACCTCCCAGACGCTTGTCTACTCGCTGTTGGTCACGCCCAGCTCGGGACAAACCCTGTTCACAATCGATTCAAGTAAGTCATTCCGGTGTAGTAACGAGTATACTGCTTATATTCTTTTTTTGAGATATTTAGAATGAATTTATTGAGCACACAAGTTTTATTTTTAGACTGTCTTCATTTGACCTTTGCTGCTTCAATATCGTTAAAACTGGAATATAACAAACATAATTGAATATTAAGTGATAAGATGTGGACTATATCTTTTGTCCAGAATAACAACTGCATAAGGTGGATTCGGCGAAATTGTATATCAAACGAATATGAATATGTAGAACAACGCCAACTATATATTACAAATTATATACTGTATAATTATGGCATTATGAACAAATATTTGCACGGCACATATAAAAGTAACTTTATATCAGGCGAAAAAACGTCTTCAATGAGACCAATGATGTCACTAAGTAACAGGTATTCACAGTTGATGTACAGTGGTGGGACTACACAACGGTACACGATGTGCGGTGAACGCATGATGGAAAACTGCGATAATAACGTCCGCACAACTTGACGATAACTATCAGCTTTGCTAAGGTTTTATCTGTACATGTACATAACATTATATTTCAAAACAACTGTGGTACGTGATATGTACATTACTGTTTGTTAAATACATTACATGTACCATGTACATACGTAAATCAGAAAAGATTATAAGTTAATTATGAAACCGTATTTATTCACAGGCCATTCTATAATATAGATCAGCAACGATACCTATCGAACATCTGTGCGATAGCTTCCGCCGCGCACTTGTACGCCCGCTATTATCGCCTAGTTTTATCGTGCGCACATCATGTAATGTCGTGCGATCCTACAACTGTACTTTGGTGATACAATGACAATGTATATCAGATATGGATGTACCTTACTGTAATGATGTTGCACTGTCTATAAAACGTGCATCTTTTTACTTCCACGAAAAAACTACAGTAAACGTTTATGGTTTTTGCGTATGTTTACCAAGATAGTAGATAGGCAATTCAAATATATCGCAGTGTTTATTTAAACTGAGAAAGATATTTGTTGAATATGCATCATGACTAAAGTACATTTCGTAGGTTAATAAAAGTGAACGATGACGAAAGTTTTTGTATTGTTCAATCGCTACGAATTCAATGAACGTCGTGATGCAATTTTGTTTTTATATTAAGAATGGACAAAAATGTTTACCTCGTTAGGTAAGAATACTAGCCATATTATAAGAATACTAAGCACGTGTCACGTGAATAAACGAATTACTCGACCGGAGCACCTGGTGTTTGATGTCAGTTATCAGTGTTGGTTTATAGGGTCTCTCCTTACATTCTCGTTTCCTCAGTTTCTCTTGTGGTCTGTTTATGTCTTCACGTTGACCTCCAGTTCCTATTACTTTCGTGTGATAATGCTGTGGTATAGATTTATCTTTTTATTCAATTATATTTACTCTATATAAACAAAACAGATTTCCCCTATCATTGATTTCAACTTCCTGAAATTGTCTCATGATGTTCATTTGTCTATTTAGATGGTGTAATTACTACCACGCTTTCGATTGATTACGATACACAGACGGATGTTTACTTTAATATTGCGGTGACTGTGTCTGACGGGCAGGCGAGCGACACTGAGCCGCTTTACGTCATCATACAGAATGAGAACGAGGCTCCAAGCTTCTCTAGTATAGCATATTACCTGTCTGCGATTGAGGAGGAAGTAGTAAGTAAAGTATTTAATTAAACCCCTGCAACCGAAGTTTGGGTTGGGTTCATATAGGAATCACCCTGTCCGTTTGGTCCGTCTGTCCATGATTCTTGTAAGGGCATCTCCTGTGTGTTGGTAGGTGTTGTTTTTTTTTGCAACATAGCACAGATACTTCATCCTAGTTTCATGTGGAAGAAGAACGGGATTTATTTAGTGATGGCCTTAAAACTTAAATATCTGCCCCAGTAACATTGTAAGTGAAGAGAGAGTACTTGTAAGCGTAACTCCTCCTAACAGTATGTTGGATTTTTTTATAACTTGACAAAGAAAACGTACATCTAATTGAAGTGCGTACGATAACAGGGGTGTGCTATTCGACTTCTTTTTACCTGGAGTTATTGGCCTTGAAATGTTCTGTTCCAGCACCATTGTAACCGCAACTCCTCACTAACAGCATTTTGACACGTGTTTTGTTACTTGACGCCATAAAAGTCGTGCACAGATATGCACGAAGATAAAAGAATTTACAATTCAACATGTTTTTTCCCGAAGTTATCGTTCTTTAAACTGTCTGCTCGGACACCTTGTAAGAGGAAGTTAAAGTGCATAATATGTCAATTTGCATTTTAAAAGGAATTTGTGATTTCATTTTTTTCCAAAAGTTACGGCCCTTAATTTTTTGATATTGCAATCAAAGCGGGGTTATATTTTTGTGATCTCGCTTACAATTTCTCTAGTCGGACCAGAGAGAAATACTGAAATCCTAAGTCTTACACTATGTACGAAAAATAACACATCATCATGCCAGACAACTAACAACGTTTTTTTATTAATTATCCATAATGCGCAAATTTATCAACAGTGGCAATATGAAAATAGAAAACTGAAAATCGTGGTATGTGTATATCGTATTGGATTGTATATTGATAACAATAATATACAACATTTGATATAGCGCCCTATCTAGCTAACATAAGCCACTCTAACGCGCTTTACAGTACATAGATATACAATTAATACAATTAGCATATACCTTAATGAATACAATTTTGAGGAATTTGCAGGAGCTGCCTTATCGTGCGCCAACTACTAGCCCTATGTCACCTGACTAATATCTCCCTATGTGTGCATGCCTACGTGTTTGCTGGAGATGTAAAAAAAAATCTATTATAAAATGTTTGATTGTACCAAATGGGACCATCTTTTAACGAAAAATCGAGACATTGGAAGTAGAATAAGAGAATATCAAACTTTAAACTTACCTGGATTTCAAAGAATAAGAAACGACGTACTTTGATATTACATAGAGTCATGATCGTCCTGTTCTTGGTTTCTTTGTTACAGAGAGGAACAAGTTTGGGCACACCTTCGTACGGTGTCACCGATCCGGATTTGGACTCCATCAATTATAGCATCGACTGTTATCAGTTCTTGATCAATTCGTCAACAGGGGAGATAACATTTTACGCGGCCTACGACCTCGACCTAGCCGGCTCGTCATCGACAATCAGTTGTATTGTGAGTGCTGATGATGGCGAATTGACAGGAACGGCTACATTAATCGTCACCATCAATGATATCAATGATAACAGCCCAATATTTGATAATGAAATCTACAGTTTTACGTCTAGTGTGTCTGCAAAATCTGGTGCTGTTATTGGAACAGTAAGCGCGACAGATGCTGATTATTCCACACTTTACGGTATGTACTCGGGTTATTTAATGTTTTGCGTTACGATATGGTCAACGTTAAACAATAAGTGTAGTATACTAATGTGGTTGGTTGATCTACAATTCAAAAACACTTAATATCAGCATATCACCTGTACATGGTGGATATCTCCGAATGGAAGTCTTCGGACTTTTACTAGTCACCCTCGTATAAAGTTACATTTGAAATCAATTGCTACGTTTAAGCTCAGCAAGAGTAACAACAATCACTTTGTTATTGTGAAATTGTGATGGTTTTATTCTTCCTAAAAGGATATGCTCACATTTTATATGGTATTGTATTACAAGTTCGTGTGCAGACCATTTAAAAATACAAAGACGACTTTCACATCACAATGCTTTGGGGGGATTTTACTGCTTCAGCTTTGAGAGATTATTTTTGAAAAATAACCCAACATAGTTGCTACTTTAATGGAAAAAAAACAAAAAAGATGCGGTAAACAAAAACAACAACAGTGTTCTGATAAAACCCACTGATTGACCATGACTCGAAAAATACCTCCGATTATTGCCTTGTTGCTCTAACCTAATGTACTATCTCTGTAGACGGTAGTACATTGGCTCAGTCAAGCTACAGTTACATGTATATGGAATGAAATTAAGGGCAAGTTACTATGTTTATGTCGAATTCCATAGTGATTTGCTTGCAGTGAGTCCGGGATCCTGAAAGGGAATTAATGACGTGATTCCTGTGTCTTTTATCATTTTTGTTGACATTCGATATCGGACAGTAAACTAATATTAAAGAATTAACTAATGAAATGATGTCATTTTACAGGAGCAGTGACTTTCACTATTAATCAGACTCTGCTAAGCACAAACTATTTCGGGGTATCTGGAACGGGTTCATTATTTGCTGTGCAGGACCTTTCTGCACTTGGGAGTGGATCAGTTCATGACGTGACGGTCACCGCTACAGACACAGATGGAAACCATGGTTCGTTATTTCGTCAATATTTATCTCAATCTTATTCTTTAATATTTCCTACCTTACGTCACACTCATGTTATATATCATTTTTTACATTCATATTTAATCTGCATGTCCATTCAGTTTACATCGAAACTGATAATATCAGCCATCGTATGTAATACTTGTTACCTGGCCATGCCTATTCCTTATTTGCGTATCGCAGAGTTATTTTCTCTTGTGAGCAGGTATTGATTGTTACGTCATTAGTTTGTATGAGAAAATTACGTCGTTTTCTCAAAAATTGATGACAAGTAAATTAAATTAAACGATTGTTCTAAATTTTTAAAAAAAATGTTAATATATTGATTGAACGGCGTTTTTCAAATTCTCATGCCCGGTATGAAAAATAAAAAAATGCCGTTCAATCCCTATTTGTTACGTAATTTTATTTGATATTCAACTTTCAAATATAATTTGTACAATGTATTACAATTCAAAACCTATCGGAGATATGAATAGTTTCACCGTATACATTAAGATCAGTATATCAGGACTGCTAGAAGGCCGCTTATGAACTATTAAAATGTTCCTAGATAGCAATCTATATAGGCAGTACTGTATTGTTTCCGTATACCCATTGAAACAAAAAATATACAATAAGCGGGACAATGTTTGTATTGATGTCGACTATAAACAACGGGTTTCCGAAGATGCATATTGATGGAAACTATGGACAAATTTACAGTCGTCATCATAATCTCAGTAGGCAATATTCTATTTCTTATTGTGAATTAAAAACTGATGGTTCAGTTTTGCCAATTTTTGCACCTTGCCGTTTTGTTGTCAGTAGCCCCAATTGCATTTGACCCAGATCGACATGGCGGGTCAAGATCTAATCAAAGCCTGAAGAAGGCAACAACAACAGACGAAATCACGGACGTAATACACAAAGGAACGCCGAAACAGAAACATAATTGAGTTCTTTCTAAAACCGATAAGAATATCAATGAATCACATTCCATTGTGCCAAACAGTATAACCTTTTTAGACAAATGAACTGTACAACATCCAACCTTGTCGGTTTCAGACACGTCCCTGGTTACTATTATCATTCCTGACTACACTACAACAACCGGTCAAGTCACAGATTCTGACGACCGGTACCTAACGTTTATTGAGGACACAAAGAATGTCGCCTGGTTGACGTCATTTTGTTTGGCTAGCTTTGGTTCAATGTGTCTTATAGGTTACCTTATCAACAAGTATGAGCTCCTCAAGTTTTGGAGGGACGGTCTCAAGGAAACATTTCAGAGAAAGGGGTAAGGACGGTGTGTCATTTGGATATTTAAAACAAATGTTAGTCATTTCTACCGACCAACTACACTTTGGCTTATTCGACTGGCACGTCAAAACAGCGATATCAATCAAACAAGGCTTATTTGTAACTGTAGTATTAAACATCATCAAATTCTAAAATTTACGCTTTATTAGATTATATATATATGGGTTATTAGTCTCCAAAATGTTCCACAATTAACACATTCAAAAGTATTTAATTTTTCATTAGTTAAACTTAGTTAACTATTTGAAGGTATATTGGTATGCATATCATCTTCCTGTAAAATCCTATCGCCAGCTTGTTACAATTCACTGCAAAATTATATTGTATGAATTTACTTTATATTTGTTTCACAGCGATAAAACATCGAAATCAAGAAATGGTTCTGATGCTCGTAAGTACTCTGTGAATACAAATATACATGAGTGTGTAAGGTTGGTTCAAGTGCATCTTCAATAAGATTCGTCAGTTTTGAAACATTTATGTAAATCAAAGGCGCATTTAATAATGTTCATTCAGTATTGTTAATTTCTGTTTAAGTAGTCGCACAGGCTTTCATCATAAATGAAATCTAATGCATACGAAAATAATTCATTCCTTAATCTTTGATTATAACGCCATCTTATAAGGACATTTAATACATATGCTGTATGATTTCGCTCTGCATTAGCATTCACTCCGTGTATGTGTTGGTAGGTCAACGCAAGAATGAGAGACGATCGTCTAATACTAATGGAAGCCGCAATACAACCAGACGAAAACAACCCATGCAGTCATCAGATTCAGGAATGCCAAGACAAAAGATACGAGATATTCGACATTTCATAAACGCTCAGACCACTCAGTTTTGATATTGTCGTTAGAAACCGCCTTTTGCAGTGTTTTTCTTTTGTGTGTGTTGACACGTAGTAAGTTAGATTTCTCATGGTCATTTGATCAAATCATTTCTCTCCATGTCGCGTGCTTAATAATTCCTGTTTTATTAAGGGTGACTCGTATTATTCACTGATCTAACTTTTTCATATCTAAATGCATAATCGCGTGATCTGTTATAGTTGTGTAGTTAGAACTTTCTCGTTATTTGAACGTTTCGTTCCCTGCACATTGAGCTTTCCCCTTTACGTTGTTCATGATAAATCCGTCCAAACAAACAAAGTGTAGCCGGCCTCATAGCATTGCCAATACAATGTCAATCCATCCAGTGATCTAATGATTTCTAAATGTGAATTGTGTACAAATGCTTTCTAATCCCATTCTTATCAAAATTATCCAAGAAAGTATTTGTGTTCTGACAACATGTCATGTTAAATCGCTTGGTTGACGCATGAGCAGGTCAGTGAACAGGTGTGTCCAATAAGGTCAGTGAACAGGTGTGTCCAATAAGGTCAGTGAACAGGTGTGTCCAATAAGGTCAGTGAACAGGATGAAATGATAAATCAAGTTATAATGCACCATTCTTCCCAGAATATTGTAAGATTTAAAGGTACCGTGACCACTGTACCACAAAGGTAGAGAAAGCCTCTTTGTTATTTAACATAAAGTTACTTCCCTTTAATTTGACCCAGTTCATATTCACTTTCCTGTTACACGAAACTCACCCTGCTTTTGTTGTCATAAGATAAGGAAGCGTCCTTAACACTTACTTTCCTTTCATACAGTATATATATGTGTGTATATAGTTTTCGGAAAATCTATTTTATGCGCTCTGCGATATTTTACTGACAAAAATAATGCAGTTTACGTTTTCTTCTACAGCAATTGTTTCTTCTACTTTATGAAATAATATTGAAAATTGTATTTGATTTCATGTGTGGTTTTTTTCCAAATAAAACATCGTTCCATCCAGCTATCTTTCTTTCTCAATTTAAAACCAGATTGTATGTCCAATTTGTCGTAAAACAATATCTTGATCTTTTCCTTAGGTTAACAAATGTATTTGCTTACCTGTGAAAAATGATGTTCCCTTCAACATACATCCTCTGAATATATCTACTTTACCGGGAGGCTTATTTCTATTTTGGTCTAAAGGAAGCTAGCAAAGATTTGTGTCTTGACATGTAAACACCATGAGCGTTTCAGCTCATATCTTACTGTTTAAGAAAGTAAAATGAAAAATTGAAAAATACATTGTCATGTTTATTGATAAGTAAGAATGCATTTGTGTTTAGGTTATCGTACTTTCCAACTTCGTATATAAGTTATTATTTTGAACTAACATCCGCTTCTTTGTAGAATTTTTTTGGATTTCACAAACTGCCACGAGAAAAAAAAAGTATACTTTAGAAAGTATTTGGTCCGATGACCTGTGTATCTATAATTTCTGGATATCAACATTGGTAAAGTGTAGAATTGGAAGGTTTTCTTTTAGAACCGGGACTCTACCCTATATTTTACTTTGTGTTTAATGTTGACCTTTATTTGTGTTATCAAATGTATATGTACGAATTGTGAACAAATAACTCTTCAATGTATGATTTTTGATGAACACGTTAATCAGTAGTAACGAGCACTGTGTGATAATGGTACTAACATGTTTGACTTGATTGGGCTCTCTTTGTTTTATCATTGTGTATTCCGTCTTTGCGTATTGCAGAGTTATCTTCTCTTTTGAGCACGTATGATTGTTAAGTCATTGGTTTGTTTGAGAAAATTAGGTCGTTTTCTCAAAAATTGATGCCGTTACTCTCACAAACCAATGACGTAACAATCAATACCTGCTCACAAGAGAAGATAACTCTGCAATACGCAAAGACGGAATCGGTCCTTCTGATACATGATTACACAAACACTATACAAGTTGCATAGACGTTTAATAGTGCAAAACATACACCGATACAATTATGAAATAGATCAATTGAACCAATGCAAGAATTATTTTTTTAAAAAATCGTGGATATTTAATTTTAGAAGACATTTTAAAAATACGTTCTATACATGACGAAGTTTTTAACGGTGAATATGTTTTGAATGTTCCGTGCGGTTGGATAGGGCAGTCGATGAGATGTGGATTGGTGAAATGGTCAACAAGGGAAGGTCTATGACTTCTCTCTACCGGGACCGTCATTGGATGTCAGAACCTCTTAAAAAACTGTTGAATAAAAAATATATACATTGAATCTAATGAACTTCAAATATAAGTTCATTTCTTGAGAGAGCATAACATAGCTTCCTGACATCATTTTGAACAACTCAATATCAAAAGAACGAGGCGATATATTAAGCAACTTAAGAAGACAGACTCACACTAACCTATCATTGAAATGTTTAAAAGGATATACCGTTCTACCGTGTTATTCAAATCTGGTTCGCATTAAGGATAAATAGTTTCCTTTTCTTTTTCTATCTCCTTTCGTAGAGAGTTCCACAGCAGAGTAAATACATTTTTATCAGTACTACAATGCTTTGGTATGGTTATTTTTAATACAAATTAGAGGATTGTATGTTATGATTAGTTTCTATATTTAATATTTAATTTAATTATTATTGTGCAATTTACCACTTCTTTGTATGTCTTTTCAGACCGTGTTCATTGCTGAATAAACATATTTTAAAGTAAACGGAACAGAGTCCCATCTACAAATTTCAAAAAGCGAAATTATCATAGGTATAATGTTTCAGGTACATTGCACTTTGAATAACGATATTAATTTAACGGTAACAGACACGCATCACATTTTAATTCTATAGAGTAAGGGTAAGGGGCACACAATGTATAACAATAACAAACGAAAAAACAATACGCTGACCGCAACAGTTTAGGAATTTCATTTGTTCTAAGCTCATATGCAATTTTGAAGCTTTTTTTACGATATCCTGAACCGAATATCATTATTTAATGAAATCACAAAAAAGTTGATCAAACATTTTGTTGCTCCAACATGACGAAGTTTAAATATACCAGCTGATTGGCTGACACAACCTCGTCAATCCATGACCGTTTTTCACTGTATATTTTAATAAACAGCTCCGTCACATTTTTGTACTTTGCTAAAGAAAAATGTGAATGTATTGCAATTTGTCCTGTTCATCTCGAAAACAGTATGAAAAACGACAGCCTACAAAACAGATTTCACAATGACATACACCATGACGTTCTTTGCTTACCTTTTAATGTCATGTTCTGTAACTGGTTATATTTTTTTCAAGCATATCAAAAAAACTTTCACTATCCAATTTACTTTAAACTTTTCCTTGATGACACGCTTTTAAACAAACTTATCCAGGCAGGAACGAATTATTGTACATTGATATATTTCAATAGGTGGCTGCTGCAGTAATCCGCCATAATTTTATGAGCAAACGGAACAAATCAAGACTATGTTTTACAGAAAATCCAAAAGAATCACATCCGATTCCATATTGGTGTCGCATCTATATACATGTATATGGAGCAAAGTAGTCATATAAACGGTAGCTTTCGGAATAACACTGGATCCTTGCAATGACTTGGAATTGTATATGGGCCAAGGAAGTAATTCTTACAGTGTAGACAATATGATGTTGTCAAATTTTCGGAGCAATCCCCTCCTTTATCGATACACAAAAAAAATACACAAAAAATATTCTTATTGGAAATATAATAATTATGTTAAAGCTAATATTTTGGCAACAATAAGCCCCTCGGCTAGCGTAAGCCTGAGGCAGAATTTTCACTGACCACATCGTTGACCATCGCGTGTGCGAACAACGATGTATATCCTATTATTTTTCTAATATTGTTTTTTATATAATGCATTTGTTTTGGGTGGATTTTTTCTGTGTCTCGATAAAGGAGCGGATTGCCCCGAAAATTTGACATCATATTGTCTACACTGTAGGATTAACATCCTTGTCCAATACATATAATTTTTAATCTGATTTAGTTTACCCAGGTCTGTGTGTGTTTTATTAGAAGGTATTTATGTTTAGATTATATATGTAGGTGTTGGCTTTCAGTTTGAAAATTGTATTCAGGTTGATGTTTTTGAGGGCTATTGACAGGGGAATACCTTTAGACTACATGTAAAAGTCAACTATCAATCAGTGCCTTAGTCAGTACGTACCTATTGGTCGGTGATTATTCCTTTTCTTGTTGTGTAATTTCCTGAAAATGGCTGTCTGGTCTGTGCTTGTGGGAACAGTAGACGGAGAAAAAACTGTAAATATAATATCAGGATCTCATTTACAAAACATTTCTTGGCAGCTCTTCATCTGTACTGTATTAGTGTCGGATCGTAGGGTTGACCACTTACTGTTGAGTACTTCATTATGGAAACAACAAGTCTCTGACATTGTCATTATGTGCATCCAGTGTGCTCACTCCGTATATGACACCGTTTAAATTGTTAGTATTGAATAGTCTGAATAAACGGTACATAAGGTGGTTAAATAATAAACAATGACTATACTATAGAGCTTGTAAATAGCCGACGACTAATCCAATAGACAATGACTATACTATAGAGAATAGCCGACGACTAATAGAAAAGGACTATACTATAGACCGACGACTCATAGACAATGACTATACTATATAGAATAGCCGACTACTAATAGCTAATGGCTATACTATAGAGAATAGCCGAGGACTAATAGACAATTACTATACTATAGAGAATAGCCGTCTACTAATAGATAATGACTATACTATAGAGAATCGCCGACGACTAATAGACAATGCCTATACTATAGAGCCGAGGACTAATCGACAATGACTATACTATAGAGCCAAGGACTAATAGACAATGACTATATTATAGAGAATAGCCGACGACTAATAGACAATGACTATACTATAGACCGACGACTAATAGACAATGAATATACGTATACTATAGACCGACGACTAATAGACAATGAATATACTATAGACCGACGACTAATAGACAATGACTATACTATAGAGAATAGCCGATGACTAATAGACAATGACTATACTATAGAGAATAGCCGACTACTAATAGATAATGACTATACTATAGAGAATAGCCGTCGACTAATATACAATGACTATATTATAGAGAAAAGCCGACGACTAACAGACAATGACTATACTATAGAGAATAGCCGACGACTAAAAGACAATGACTATATTATAGAAAAATAGCCGTCGACTAATAGACAATGAATATATTATAGAGAATAGCCGACGACTAATAGACAATGACTATGTTATAGAGAATAGCCGACGACTAACAGACAATGACTATACTATAGAGAATAGCCGACGACCAATAGACAATGACTATATTATAGAGAATAGCCGACGACTAATATACAATGACTATGTTATAGAGAATAGCCGACGACTAGCAGACAATGACTATACTATAGAGAATAGCCGATGACTAATAGACAATGACTATACTATAGAGAATAGCCGACGACTCATAGACAATGACTATACTATAGAGAATAGCCGACGACTAATAGGCAATGACTATACTATAGAGCTTGTAAAACAGATACTAAACACGAAACACAAGTGTGACTCTTCAAAATTAAAAGGAAACGTATTTTATAAATAATGAACGAAACAGACAAAACAACATCTTATGGACAGGAATGTTTTGTGATTCGTAATATCAAGGTAAACTTACAATTATTGGCACGAAATATTAAGTCGTTTTTTGTAAATGTTTCCCATAAACAACAGATCTTGGGTAATATGAGGTTTGCAAACAGAAACACATAAGAACAGAAATCCACTTTCCTAACGTTTTATCAAGAAAATGCAATCAATCAATGCAAATTTATTAAGGAAGAACCTTCACGATAGCAAAAAGTAACTGATGCACAGAAAACTTACAAGTTTTTACTCACACTTTTCAACTGTAATATATCTCAGTATTCGCCTGACTCTGAGCATATAAATGATGTTTATCAATAAACAAGGAGTATCCGATAGACCTGACACTAGAACCACTAACTTTGGCCTGTTAATTAACGCTTAAATATTCCGTCTAAGCACATCAATATAAAATCGTTTGGTACTTAAAGTCGTTCTGAGCACACCATATCATTAAATATCAATCTAGTATAATGTACAAATGTTTTAAACTTTCTTTCTTTCACGACATATCCTTTATGAATACATTTGGAGGTTATTATAAGTATGAACATTTCCGTACCCCTCTCCATATCAACCTAGGATCTCCACAATAGGCTGGGATAACGACATATAGGTCGGGGTGGGTACGGGATAGGCAATGCACCAAAGTAATTGATTCTTAATTTTCAAAAGGGTTAAATTGGGGAAACAACATTTATTTTTCTGTTCTCGAGATGATTAAGCCATATGCTTGTTTTAATTTAATTTAGTTTTATAGTATTTTCGAATAAGTCGTGGACACGCGAACAAAAGATGCATAAAGCATATTCTTTGAATAGAAAAAGCAGTTTAATCTGTCCGACAAATGAAAGGCCGTATTTAAAAGAAAAGTTAACAACGTAAACGAAAACTGTAGCTCCTCTGATCGATTCAGCCTATTACTATACACCCTGGATTGTATCTACTCACACAGTAGGTGCAATCACGAGTGTGTCCCCGAGTTTGACGAAACATTGATAGCTATAATTATCTTTTTTGAGTAGTGGTAAGGCTTATTATAAACACGTTACTTATCAGTACTCTGAAACATTTTTTAAATTTATACATGTATAAACAAAAGCCTTTACGCACATCCGTTTCTGTTTCAAACGTTGGATAAAACGATTTGCATTTCCACCTCTCTAATCCCTAGCATCACCGTATCACTAGTTCTCACCAGCTGTACGGTGCCTTGTTTACAAACTGTACATATTATCTGTCTGATCCATAGCATCACCGTATCACTAGTTGACACCAGCTGTACTGGGCCTTGTTTACAAACTGTACATATTACCTGTCTGATCCCTAGCATCACCATATCACTAGTTGACACCAGCTGTACTGTGCCTTGTTTACAAACTGTACTTATTACCTGTATGATCCCTAGCATCACCGTATCACTAGCTGACACCAGCTGTACTGTGCTTTGTTTACAAACTGTACTTATTACCTGTCTGATCCCTATCATCACCGTATCACTAGTTGCCATTAGCTGTAGTGTGCCTTGTTTACAAACTGTGCTTATTACCTGTATGATCCCTAGCATCACCGTATTACTAGATGACACCAGCTGTACTGTGCTTTGTTTGCAAACTGTACTTATTACCTGTATGATGCCTAGCATCACCGTATCACTAGCTGACACCAGCTGTACTGGGCTTTGTTTACAAACTGTACTTATTACGTGTCTGATCCCTAGTATCACCGTATCACTAGATGACACCAGCTGTACTGGGCCTTGTTTACAAACTGTACTCCTTACCTGTCTGATCCCTAGTATCATCGTATCACTAGTTGCCATTAGCTGTAGTGTGCCTTGTTTACAAACTATACTTATTACCTGTCTGATCCCGAACATCACCATATCACTAGTTGACTACAGCTGTACTGTGCCTTGTTTTCAAACTGTACTTATTACCTGTATGATCCCTAGCATCACCGTATTACTAGATGACACCAGCTGTACTGGGCCTTGTTTACAAACTGTACATATTACGTGTCTGATCCCTAGTATCACCGTATCACTAGTTGCCATCAGCTGTACTGTGCCTTGTTTACAAACAGTACTTATTACCTGTCTGATCCCTAGTATCACCGTATCACTAGTTGACACCAGCTTTACTGGGCCTTGTTTACAAACTGTACATATTACCTGTCTGATCCCTAGCAGCACCGTATCACTAGATGACACCAGCTGTACTGTGTCTTGTTTACAAACTGTACTTATTACCTGTCTGATCCCTAGCATCACCATATCACTAGTTGTCACCAGCTGTACTGTGCCTTGTTTACAAATTGTACTTATTACCTGTCTGATCCCTAGTATCACCGTATCACTAGATGACACCAGCTGTACTGTGCCTTGTTTACAAACAGTACTTATTACCTGTCTGATCCCTATCATCACCGTATCACTAGTTGACACCAGCTGTACTGGGCCTGGTTTACAAATTGTACTTATTACCTGTCTGATCCCTAGTATAACCGTATCACTAAATGACACCAGCTGTACTGTGCCTTGTTTACAAACTGTACTTATTACCTGTCTGATCCCTAGCATCACCGTATCACTATATAGCTAGTTGACACCAGCTGTACATGTACTGTGCCTTGTTTACAAACTGTACTTATTACCTGTCTGATCCCTAGTATCACCGTATCACTTGTTGTCACCAGCTGTACTGTGCCTTGTTTACAGACTGTACTTATTACCTGTCTGATCCCTAGCATCACCGTATCACTAGTTGACACCAGCTGTACTGTGACTTGTTTACAAACTGTACTCAGTACCTGTCTCATCCCCAGCATCACCGTATCACTAGCTGTCACCAGCTGTACTATACCTTGTTTACAAACTGTATTTATTACCAAATTGTGTAGGTGCAATCACGTATCCTTCTCTTCGTGTTTACATTTGCAAAGAAATCTTGCAAACCAACAAGACTTAATTACACTTTTCATTTCCCAATAAAATGCATATTTTGATAAGTTAACTTGCGGTCTGCTAGTTTGTTATTGTATTACAATATAAGTGTATTTCCTAGCTTAACTGTATCAACCATAAAGTTCCCGCCAAAACATGCTCGGACATATCCATAAAATACTAACCTTGCTTCTTGTCGATCCTTGATTTTCTGTTCTGTATTTTTCTGACGTAATGGTTCATTTCTTCTTCACTTCCAGTGGGATCTGCAGACATAAACAACAATTTGACTCATCATTTACCATAAAATTATACTTATTCAATAGTATTATATGAAAGATAGCCAATCGTATAGATAACATAGTGATACTCGACCAAGCACTCCGCTACCCCTTACGTCGTAAAACACAGAGCAGCCATCTTGTTTTCATATTATTTGTCCAGTCATAGTCTCGTTATCTATACAAGATCTAACTGACAGACAGGGACTGTCAATGCCACAATGTTCTTCTCTTTTCTTGTTTTATTATCCAATCTACATAATAAACATACATATTTTATATCTGATAATAAACATACATACAGTTGTGGGATCGCACAACGTTACACGATGTGCGGTGTGCATATGATGTGTGAACGATGTGCGCACGATGTGCGAACGATCATTGCTTGCGCACAAATGTGCGGACGATGGACGATCGTAGTGCGATAACTATCGTGGTTGGTGTAAATTGAGGAATTACTTTATTTACTATAAACGGTTTCGGGTTTAATCAAATAAACTTAATTTTACAAACATGTTTCTATATTCTAGCTTCATCTTTAAGCTTATCTTTCTATCTCTAAACTTTCTTACATTTAGAAATGTTGTTTTCTGTGTTTTTTAAACGACCTTAATCGACACATGTAAATTTACAACAAATATGGAATTGGTCTACTATAGAGGTAACCATAGCAACTTTGTACAGGAACGTACATGGACCGTAGTACTCGTTGACGTGAATCAATGAAAAATGAAGGGGAGCTTTAGACCAAACCGTATGCAACTAACATATACTAAACGTCCAGTTGTGTTTTCATAACAGTCATACGGTATCATACATCAGCTCCTTGTGTCAGGCACAGGCTAGGTAAAACTCCGGTCACTCATCAAATTGTTATTAACCTGTAGCCAAACCTATTCCTGACAGTTTTAATGGTCACTGTAATATTGTGTAACACGCATTGTAAAACTGTACATAATTCTTGCGATGAGAAAATAATATATTCAGTGTACATTATTGCATACGAGCCTTCCGTATATGTTTTTCATTCCGTAATATTGATCAACAAATTGTACCAAATCGCACAGTTGAGAGAAGCGCGAAACGGGACGAAATATTGTGAAATCGCACACCATGTGCGGACGGTGGGTGCACGATGCATGCACGATGTGCGCATGCTATTATTGGTGCGTTGTGCGGTCACACAACTGTATTTTACACCTGATAATAAACACACATATTTTACACCTGATAATAAACATCCATAGTTTACACCTGATAATAAACATCCATATTTTACACCTGATAATAAACATACATATTTTACACTTGATAACAAACATACATATTTTACACCTGATAACAAACATACATATTTTACACTTGATAATAAGCACACATATTTTACACCTGATAATAAACATCCATATTTTACACCTGATAACAAACATCCATATTTTACACCTGATAATAAACCTCCATATTTTACACTTGATAACAAACTCACATATTTTACACTTGATAACAAACACACATATTTTACACTTGATAACAAACACATATTTTACACTAGATAACACACATACATATTTTACACTTGATAACAAACACACATATTTTACACCTGATAATAAACACACATATTTTACACCTGATAATAAACATATATATTTAACACTTGATAATAAACATCCATATTTTACACCTGATAATAAACATACATATTTTACACTTGATAATAAACACACATATCTCACACCTGATAATAAACATCCATATTTTACACTTGATAATAAACATCCATATTTTACACCTGATAATAAACATCCATATTTTACACTTGATAATAAACATACATATTTTACACTTGATAACAAACACACATATTTTACACTTGATAACAAACACACATATTTTACACTTGATAACAAACACGCATATTTTACACTTGATAGAAAACACACATATTTTACACTTGATAACAAACACACATATTTTACACTAGATAACACACATACATATTTTACACTTGATAACAAAAACACATATTTTCCTCCTGATAATAAACATACATATTTTACACCTGATAATAAACATACATATTTCACACCTGATAATAAACACACATATTTTACACCTGATAATAAACACACATATTTTACACCTGATAACAAACATACATATTTTACACCTGATAATAAGCATATATATTTTACCCCTGAAAATAAACAGACATATTTTACACCTGATATCAAACACACATATTTTACACTTGATAACAAACATACATATTTTACACCTGATAATAAGCATATATATTTTACCCCTGATAATAAACAGACATATTTTACACCTGATATCAAACACACATATTTTACACTTGATAACAAACATACATATTTTACACCTGATAATAAGCATATATATTTTACCCCTGATAATAAACAGACATATTTTACACCTGATATCAAACACACATATTTTACACTTGATAACAAACATACATATTTTACACATGATAATACACATACATATTTTACACCTGATAATAAACATATAAATTTTATACCTGATAATAAACATACATATTTCACACCTTATAATAAATATACATATTTAACACCTGATACTACACTCACATATTTTACACCTGATAATAAACACACATATTTTATACCTGATAATACACATACATATTTTACACTCGATAATAAACATACCTATTTTACACTCGATAACAAACATATATATTTTACACTTGATAATAATTATACGTGCTTCACATCTGATTACAAACATACCTATTTCACACTCGATAATAAGCATACATATTTTACACCTGATACAATTGTAATAAACATACATATTTCACACTTGATAATAATTATACGTGCTTTACATTTTTTTATAAACAAACATACTTTACATCACCAAATCTCTTTCAGCGATATGTCGGTTGTAGGAGCATAATTAGTTATTTTTTGTATGTCATTCGCAGGGTAACTGAACACAACAACGTTAGTGTGGTTTTAGCTGCGGAATGGCAGCACTGAATCTGAAAACTTTATTTGTGTGAAATAAAGAGTCTTACCTTGCAGGTGAACGAGGAGTCGTTTGATAAGCCTAGACATTTCTGCTTTTTCTTGTTTTCCTGTAAATATTAGTCAAATATAAAACCAAATCAATATAAAATATGCAAGTGATCCCTGTATTATATTTATCCAATTATAAAAATATTAATTCTACCAGTTCTAGCGATACACACGGACGTAGATCATTTTTACCAGCAATACAACACACGTATCCTAGCTTATAAGTAGATCGATAGATTCATTACACAGATTAACAACTGAAATAAATTTGATTACTTTCGGTTGCAGATTATGTATCTATTTAATGTATCATTGATTTTGTTTTATACCTTAAACAGTACAATTGTTAATAACCTCAATCACTCTAAATTTGTATACCCTCAATCACTACAAATTGTACTTGAATATTTAATAAATAGAGACTAATGAAACTTTCTGTATGATAATTCGCCGTAAATTTGGATTTAGTACTTACTTTCAAATGACTCTGCCGAAATGGACACCATCAAAACCATAAACAGGAACAGCCCCAGGTTTAATGACGAGGCCATGACTATCATGACTCTGAGTATCAGGTACGGATATATAACGTATATAAATACGTGGGTGTGCACATGGTGTTAGTGCGCATGTCACCACATAACCTTAAACCTCAAACTTACAAGTGTAGGATCGTGTTGATGGCGTGAACCATAAAAACACAGTAAATATTCATCCCAGCTAGTAATCAATGGCAGACAGACAGACAGACAGACAGACAGACATATTATTTATTTCTTCTGGATAGAGATTTCCAAATAACACTATTTAGTTTAAATCATATCAGGTCACATTCACTTGCAATTTGAAGTCTTGACTTCATGTCGGAGAGCAGCAACTCATATCGACGGACGCACGACTTCCCAATAGAAAATTCGTTTGGGTATTGTCCTCAAGAAATGAAAACTTTACATAATCTTAGACATTAACTATATTTACAACCTTATCAAGGACAACATCGTGTGTAAGTTGCAACACTGGACACTCAATAAGTAAATTTGAAACAATATCTATGGTAGTTTTCGCACACAATCTACATGTAGCCTCTTCAATTTCATTTGTCACTGATAGTAACATAAGATCCACTAATTTCCAGCTATATTGAGGAAACTTTGCACACAAACTCAAGGATTAGATTATGACCTATTGATACATGTATTCCATTGTACCTTTTTAACTCGACTTTGAAAGAGAGATCATGTTTCCATTTATCATAACATAATACCAAAACGACACAAACATTTTATTAAACCTTTTTCTATGAATTCTTTGGATATAACACAGTCTGTAATTTGCTCTATAAAAAACATCTTGATTGGAAATTTCGTCATTACTTGATAAAGTTTCCGGAATGAAACCCATTTTTCGTTAAAGCGTGTTTCCATTTATATAGCTACATAGAGAAACGATGAATACTAGCAGGAGAGCCGTATAAAAACTTCGGGTTTTCTACCCTACATATCGGGACAGGATCTTGAGATGTCGTTCTCTGCAATAATTTTAAAATGCATATTTTGACGCACTTAGAATTCCATTTCATTTAGAATTATCCTACATTCTGGTACAGAGTTATAGGATATGTATAACAACTTAACACAAACTAATTTTGTTTACTTCACCTTTACTTCGAAATTTATCTTTAGAATTGGTTAAAAAAGCATCACAAACATCAACAGCAAAGGTTGTTTAAAGCAACTAAAGACATACTTTACCCTGATTTCTATTCATCTAGCGACCGTATATACACGTCGTCACGTGACTACTATACATCATAACAAGTACGCATTTGGGCAGTTTCTGTTTACGTATGATCAATGTCCGATAACATATCGGTATACTTCAGTGTCGCTACCAATCATTTACCATCCACGTCAATCGAATGTGATCAAGGATAGGACGTGTCAGCAAGGTTATATTTCAATTTGCCTGTTCTATAAAAACGTAGATCCAGCCGATATGGCCACTCTCTACTAAAAGTGAAATGGACATTAAATTTGTTCGCAAAGTATATTAGCCGGTACAGGGACAGACACGACGAGCTCTCTGTACGCTTAATGTGTAACTTTCAAACCCAAAACAAATATAAATATCAAATTTAAAAACAAATCCTTTTACAAGTAATAAAAATAGCAAGAATCCAGTGTTGTCAATAGTGTCTTATGTTGGTCTTGTATCGTTTGTAGTCGTCGAAATAATGTTTTGACATGTTTTCGGGGTTTCTTTTAAGAAGTTACAGATAGAAGACTGTTTCCTATTTTTATTGAGAGTGCTAGCAATGTAAAGAAAATACAAAATTGACAGCTTATTTAGATTAACAATCTGGAAAACTGAGACAGTAAACACTTGTGTTCGGTGTCTCATGAATTGAACAGCAAGTACAAATCGCCGTTCGCCCAAAAAACAGAGACAATTTTCCCCAAATGAACTGCTTGAATGTCACACCCACTTTAGATGTCTCATTTTTGTAGATATCATACACTTGTTCTCTCGATTTTTCAAATGTCTCCATACAAATATTGAAATGCCTAATTAAGAGACGAACAAAGCTAGAGATTGGCAACTCGCTCAGATTTCGCAAGTGTTGTTATCGGAGACCTGTTGCGAGACTTTCGCTGCGGCCGTGCATACAGGCGGAATTGGCTTTCTGAGTATTTAACTGATAATGAGTTATAGAGCTTTGTATAATGGCCAAAAGAAACGACGGCAGTTTTTACCGATGGATCGCACTTTATACTAAGGACTTCGATTAAACTCTTATATAAATTAATATGAACCAATACATGGTTAAAAACGTGCATCGTGATAAATACTTATGACGAATCATTAGTGTGATTAGTCGTTACCTGTAAGAGTTCAGGTATGAACTTGGCAATATATCGCAAACCAAACCCTTGCCTAGAATTATTCAACCACAAGGACCCATTCTCTACGACTTTTAACACCCATCCGTGACTGCTTCCGTTAGATCGGCTCGAGTTAGACCTCACATGAACAATACATTTGTGCCTTCACGCCTGTGATGACTCCAGGGTGTAACTCGTGTTAGGTACAAGTGTCCCTTTATAACCTTTAAATTATTCAACCTGACAACAAGTATTTAGTGTATGAAATGTTCACCTGGATGTCGCTATTAAAACGATTTGCTTATTATCTATCTTATCTACTTAAAAAAAAAAATTATCAAGAAATTATATTTCAAAATATTTAATAAAATCAATATATATGAAGAGCAATATAAAGATATTTTGAAATTGAACATCTAAAAACAATATTGTTAAAAGGTCATTCCTGCCAATATAATTTGTATTCTTAAAACAGTTGGCGTCTCATTCTGAAATCACAGTACAATTTAAGATGCATAAAACAATTTGTAAACGTGTCATGAAGCTGAAATTCTGAGCAAAAAATATGAAACAATATGAACGGGCAAACTCTAAAAGGAGCGTAGCTACTGATTCAGAATGAGGTTTACATATTCAGAATGAGGTTTACTGATTCAGAATGAGGTTTACTTATTCAGAACGAGATTTACTGATTCAGAATGAGGTTTACTTATTCAGAACGAGATTTACTGATTCAGAATGAGGTTTACAGATTCAGAATGAGATTTAGTGATTCAGAATGAGGTATGACATAAAAACCCGATTTTTTCGTCACTAAGCGTTGATTGAAAAAAACATTGAGTTGTGGTTTTTATTTCGATACGTGACAGTTATGGCTGTTTTGAAAGTATCAACAGTGTCAATAGAAACGAACAACAGAGGGAGTAAATCCCTTTGTGGTATAGTTCTTGGATATAATAGGATAGCCTCTTTCTGGATATAATGCTACATGGTTGTGAACAAGTTTGCAAATCATGATAAGTCAGGATTGGACAGGTCGAAAGTGTCAAGTTGGCCAGTGTAAAGAGAGTATTATGTCGGGGACGGAGCTGGTGTTGTGGTAGGTATGTCAGGGACGGAGCTGTTGTAGTGGTAGGTATGTCAGGGACGAAGCTGGTGTGGTGGTAAGTATGTCAGGGACGGAGCTGTTGTTGTGGTAGGTATGTCAGGGACGGAGCTGATGTTGTGGTAAGTATGTCAGGGACGGAGCTGTTGTTGTGGTAGGGATGTCAGGGACGGAGCTGGTGTGGTGGTAGGTATGTCAGGGACGGAGCTGTTGTTGTGGTAGGTATGTCAGGGACGGAGCTGTTGTAGTGGTAGGTATGTCAGGGACGGAGCTGGTGTTGTGGTAGGTATGTCAGGGACGGAGCTGGTGTGGTGGTAGGTTTGTCAAGGACGGAGCTGGTGTGGTGGTAAGTATGTAAGGAACGGAGCTGTTGTTGTGGTAGGCATGTGAGGGACGGCGCTGGTGTCGTGGGAAGCTTGTCAGGTACGGAGGTGGTGTTGTGGGAGGTATTTCAGGGACGGAGTTGATGTTGTGGTAGGGGTGTCAGGGACGGGGCTGTTGTTGGGGTAGGTATGTCAGGGGGGGGGCTGGGGTTGTGGTAGGCTTGTCAGGGACGGGGCTGGTGGTGTGGGAGGGATGTCAGGGGCGGAGCTGATGGTGTGGTAGGTATGTCAAGGTATGTCAGGGACGAAGCTGGTGTTGTGGTAGGATTGTTAGGGACGGAGCTGATCTTGTGGTAGGTATTTTAGGGACGGAGCTGGAGTGGTGGTAGGTATGGAAGGAACGGAGCTGTTGTTGTGGAAGGTATGTCAGGGGCGAAGCTGGTGTGGGGGGAAGGATGTAAGGGACGGAGCTGGTGGTGGGGTAGGGTTGGTAGGGACGGGGCTGGGGTTTGGGTAGGGTTTTTAGGGACGGAGCTGTTGGTGGGGTGGGGTTGTCAGGGGCGGGGGTGGTGGTGTGGGAGGGATGTCAGGGGGGGAGCTGATGTTGGGGTAGGGATGTCAGGGGCGGGGGTGGTGGTGTGGGAGGGTTGTTAGGGACCGAGCTGTTGTTGTGGAAGGTATGTCAGGGGCGGGGGTGGTGGTGTGGGAGGGTTGGTTGGGGCGGAGCTGGGGGGGTGGGAAGTATGTAAGGAACGGAGCTGGTGTTGGGGTAGGTATGTCAGGGTCGGAGCTGGTGTTGTGAAGCTGGGGGGGTGGTAAGTATGTCAGGGGCGGAGCTGATGTTGTGTTAGGTATGTCAGGGAAGGAGCTGGTGTTGTGAAGCTGGGGGGGTGGTAGGTATATCCTGTTGTTGTGGTAGGCATGTGAGGGACGGCGCTGGTGTCGTGGGAAGCTTGTCAGGGACGGGGCCGGTGTTGTGGGGGGGTTGTTTGGGGCGGGGCTGGGGGTGTGGTAGGGATGTCAGGGACGGGGCCGGTGTTGTGGGGGGGTTGTTTGGGGCGGGGCTGGGGTGGGGGGAAGTATGTAAGGAACGGAGCTGTTGTTGTGGAAGGTATGTCAGGGACTGAGTGATGTTGTGGTAGGCATGTGAGGGACGGCGCTGGTGTCGTGGGAAGCTTGTCAGGTACGGAGCTGCTGTTGGGGTAGGTGTGTTAGGGACGGAGCCGGTGTTGTGGTAGGTTTGGTAGGGGCGGAGCTGGGGGGGTGGGAAGTATGTAAGG